TGCTAGTGCATTTGAGTAGTCTTTGTTGTATTATTTAATATAGCCAAGTATTAATGATCATACATCTAACTGATTTATGGAAATTATATGTTTTATTGTTGTGCATCATCTATATATCGTACCAGGCCCTATAAAAAAAAAAAGGAATTTGTCTTGGAGACTGTATTTTCAAGATTTTTTTTTACCCCTCTAGGTACAGTAAGCACAGGGTCCACATCTGTGAAAACTTATAAAACATTTACTATTATTGCCCACAATCAATACAATACCTCACATATTTCTCATATATAGGGATAATCAAACATAACACCAAACTTAGAGAGTATGAGAACTTTTAGAACAGGCAAGACTGATCCCACACATAAGGGCAGTCCAGAACTGAAATGACGGCAAGTTATCTCTGCACGAGAGATACAGTAGCCCCAGACAATAATTTTGGCCTTCTCTGGGCCTCATCAGCGAGGTGTAGCTGTTATCCCTCTAGGCACAGTAAGCATAGGGTCCATGTCTGGATTATCCTTTTAGCTTTGGGAGAGCCCAAGCAAATGCATTGCAACAAAAACAGAGCGAGAGAGCATGAGAACTCTGAGAGTAAATCAGTAGCTTGCCCTTCGGTTAGTCTCTGCTCAGGTCTCAAAAATCTTCTTGCTCACTTGTGCCATTACAGAGTAAACCTATATTATTTGCATATCAGAATAATCTCACCCATAAGGGCATTCCAAAACCGAAATGCCGGTCTCTGCATAAGAGACGATTGTTTCGGACTTCTCATATTCTCTATTGTCCATTATCAGAGTTCTCATAGTCTCAGTTTTTTTGATAATTAAACATAATATTAAAAAGTGACAGTTCACCTTTAACTAAAGAGACATTTTACTGTCATAAATACAAGAATACAAGATTAAGTGTTTAGAAAAATTATAATTTGTTGTTTTCTAAAGAGTAATGTGTTTTTTTGTCAAATTGTTTTTCACATTTAAACAATTTGGATTTATTTTTATTTATTTTTTTAGAAATAATGAGCAAGAGTATTAAATTAGTCTTTCCTAGCAATAACCAATACAGATAAGTGCATTTTAAATTATCATATATATAATTGACTTGAGATGTAAGTGCTATGAACTTAATAAATTATAGCAGCAATTGAGAATGAACTATCACAACACAACAGTTGTGACACAACAAATTTATTCCTAGAAGCCATGGTGGCCTAAATGAAACATCATACTAATTCATAAAAGGGGAACAGTGAATTTATAAAAGGATATAGGCTCAGCACATAAAAAACAAAATGGCACAACAGCTTACTACTAGAAACTTTGTTATTACTTATTATTATGTAGTAAAAGACGCAATGTCATTGGTCTAAAGCAACAACCAGTAGAACACCTCTTGATTTTTTTCTGATTTAATATTATACCATATTAAACTGTAATTTATTTTCCTTAAATTTCCAGCCAGCATAGTGATGAATTGATTTTTTAATATCTGTTTACCCTTTATAACCCTTACAGTGTTTAACCCTTACAATACTTTACACACTAACATTGTATTCACACTTTGTATTACATTTGTGACTTGATGGTTGAAATTTGATTAAATCGGGGGGTGGGGGGGTGGTCTGTGGCTGAGCAAGCTGGATGTGTCCGGATAGAGCTCTGCTGAGACCACAGTGCCAACAGCCTACAACAGCCGAGATAAGCCAGCAAATCTGAAGATATTTACAGGAGAACCAAGATGGATAAACAGGCCCCGAGAAAACAGGCCAAAAAAGACAGAACCAGGTACCCCGGTGACGGAGTTGTTTGCGGCCTCCCACGTCATGCGACTGAGCACACAAGATGGGGGACGGGACGGCCCGGGGACACCACGCTCACCCTCAAGTAAGGGGAGCGGTATCTCCACGGGTGTTCCGGAGACTGATACCAGCCAGATACTGTCTAAGCTAGCTGAAGTGCGCACCTCCCTGGCCACAGAGATCACCAGAAACACTGCTGAGGTCAAAATGGAAATACAGGTCTTAGGCGTCAGGACGGCAGCTTTGGAACAGCGGGTGGAGTCCACGGTAGTTGCCCACAATGAAGCTGCAGTGCAAATAAACCACTTGACGTCCCGATTATTACACGCCGAATCCGCAATTGATGACCTTGGCAACAGATCGCGGCAAAACAACATACGCCTCCGCGGCCTACCGGAGCAGGAGGGGGGAGGGTCTCTTATAGAGGTGGTGCTGAGCATATTTAGGCCGCTTCTCCCCGATATACCGGAACATCTCTGGCACATTGAACGGGCTGATAGGGCGCTCCGAGCCCGGCGAATGGATGACAGGCGGCCGAGAGACGTGATTATCCGGTTCTTATACTTCCAAACAAAGGAGGCCATAATGAAACGTGCCAGAAACTACACAATTGTATATAAAGGGGCAGAACTTGCCCTGTACCAGGACCTAACACCAGCTACGCTGCAGAGGTGGCACAAGTGGTGCCCTGTCACCGAACTGCTTCAGCAACATGCCATTAAATACGCTTGGGGCCACTCTTTCCGACTAATGGCATTTAAGGATCAGCGCATGCGGACGGCGATCCGGTACCCTTTTTGAAGGAACTGGGCATACAGGTTCCGGAGGATCTGGCAGTTCAGGCTGCACCGGTGGGAGTCCTGAGTCCTCTACCTCGTGACTGGTTCACGGTGGGCGTGTGACGACGTCGGCTCCTCTTATGATCCACTGGATCGGATGTCCGTGGCTCCGGGTGGTCAGGTTCTCAGAGGGGGCTCTTGTTGTTTGGGAAGGTGGTCCTGGGGGGTTTCCTTTTCTCCCATTTTGGGGTTCATGCCCCCCCTCTTACTCCTGGCCCTGGTGTCTGGGGGCCTTTTGTTGGGCTGTTCCTACACAGTTTGCTGGTTTTTGGGATGGGTTAGGGTTTTCGTATGCTATTGTATGTTGATTTCAGCCACCAAGCTCATCTCTGAATATCTGCTGGTTGGGGGCGGGAGGAGGCCGCAATACTCAGGGAGGTCGATTTTATTCTATTCCGACCCTCCCACTGACAAACACATTAACACTATGGGACAGCAGCTGATTATGGTGGTACTGTGTTTTTTTATGTGTAACGGGCGGCGGGGGGTGGGCGGCGACTGATATGGCGGGTTGGTGTAATGTATATGGGTTGCAGATTTTGTTTACTGTCTGCCCCTTGAACTCTGCTTTTGAATCATGCTGAGTATGTTGGGTTGACCCGGGCGGCGGGCGTTGGGCGGCTACTAATATGGCGGATGGGTGAAATGTTTGTTAGCTACTGATGTTGTTTGCGGTCTTACCCTCCAACTTTCCTTACGCTTAATGTTAGGTATGTCGGGTTGTCGCGTGCGGCGGGCGGTGGGCGACATCTTCTATAGTGGGTCCGGGAAATGTATATAGGCTATGGATATTGTGTACTGCTCGAGCCTTTGGCTTATCTTTACAGGTTCCGCTTCAGGCGGGATACCGTTCCGGGGAGGTGGGAGGCATCTAGGCTGTTCAAAAGCTTTATCCCCTATGGGGCTGTTCACGGTCGGGTGGTACCGGGATGCGGGCGGCAGTTACCAAGGCGGGTTGGCAATTTGTTGGGGACATGTTTATAATGTTTGATTGCTGCTCACTGTTTTATCCACTAGATAATTCTTAAAGATTTTACACCAGGTGGGGGGTTGTTCCGGGAGGGGAGGGGAGTGTGTGTCTGGGCATCCTGGGAGCTCTTCCCCTTGGAGCTGTTACTGATTTCCCCCCCTCTGCCCCTCTGTGAGTCAGCCCTACATTGCTGGGCTGCCCTGGATCCGCTATGGGATCAGATATATCGCCCTCTGGGGGTTGAGAAGCATTACAGTCCCTGGGCCTGAGGTAGCGGGGCGGGGGGCTCAGGAGGCGGATATTTGGCTACGCCACCTGGGGGGGCTTGGCAGTTGGGGTTTATACGCTGCAAAGTGGCCCGCCAAATGGTTGGGTATATCGTATCTCACACTTAGTTCAATTGGCACCCTGGTGGTGTGTTAACTAGTTAGTCTATGTTCCTACTCCTGTGGAGCTTCTTTGAGGTTCCGAGGAGGATGGAGCTTACACCCCAGACACGCCTGGCTATTGGTAAGACCAGGCAAAAATTGTTCTTTTTGTTCTATCTTTCGTTCTTTGTTCTTCTCTCTTTTTCCTCTTCCATCCCCTTCCTTATTCCTTCCCTTGCACAATTTCCTTCGGGAGGGGGAACAGGTGAGATTAGAAGCGCTGAGCGCCATGGTCTTGGCCAGCTGAGACCAGGCCATTCACTTTTCATGATATGGCCTATAATGGACCGTGCAATCCGGCCCCAGGGCGAGATGGTTCGTGGGATATGCTCTGTAACCTATAGGATCCAATGCCTCTAAAATTACTCTCTTTCTGAACGTTAAGGGCCTCAATGCTCCGAATAAACGTCGTCTTATGTTTAGGGAACTTAAACGTCTCAACCCTGACATAGCGTTCCTGCAGGAGACACATATATCGGCGGTGGCAAAATTTGCTCTGAAGGACTACACTTTTTGGACAGTTCATGAATCTAGGGCCTTAAATAAGAGGAATGGAGTTGTGGTGCTTATTCATCATAGATGCCCGATCAGGGTGGGAACAGTGCAGGCAGATCCGGGGCGCTGCTTTATTTTGGTATTGGGGAGTATACACTCACACCCGATACATCTTCTTAATATCTATGCGCCGAACATCCCCTCCACCGTTTTTTGGGATAATATGGCCCAATTAGTGGACTCTCTGCTGCACGGCATGGTGATAGTGGTAGGTGATTTTAATGCTGTACCGTGTCCGGCGGTAGATAGGGGCCCATGCGGTGGACTTCCCATGGGAGAGGTCCCATGGGAGAGGGGGACAGGATAAATTGTCACACAACTTTATACGGCATACGGGTCTCATAGATATCTGGAGAGCGGGATTACACTTTTTATTCGGCACCCCACGATACCTACTCAAGGATTCACCTATTTTTGGTGAACCCCCATGTAGTGCCCAAAGTGTCAGGTTCTGTGGTGGGATCAATCACATGGTCGGACCACGCTGAGATCACACTGACCTTAGATAAATTGTGCACATCATCCCCGTGGTCGTGGAAGTTGAATACTTCCTTACTTCAGGATCCGGCCGTGGTTGAGACGGTTCGGGGGGAATTGACAGAGTACTTTTCAAGAAATACGGAGGCTGGGGGGGCGTGGCCAACCAAGATACTGAACAGACGTGCATGGGTGCTGCTCCTGCTCCAAACATTGAGGAAAAGCCGTTTGCACCAGAATTTTAACCCCAGAAAACGACCTTGGAGATCCTACAGCCTCACAGAATACTATGGGACGCAAAAACAAAAAAAATGCCCGTCCGGAGAGTGTAACCCACTCAGACATCAGACTTTCTTTTGAATGGCCGCAGGCCCGCAACAAGATGGCTCTGGACAGACCGCATGGCTCTAGTGACTCCAGCGACTCTATAGACGAAGAGGGCCCACGGCAGACCACCAACAGAGTGTACCTGAGAGCGGACTCTGACTCCGATGCCTCTCCCGCCACGAAGGGGGACATCAAAAAACTCCTTCAAGATCTGAGGGCGGTATGGAAGGCGGACCTGGCGGGGGTGCAGGTGGAAGTCGGCGGACTGCAACAACGACTCGCAGCGGCGGAATCCAGAGAGGAAGCCCGGGAGCAGCGCCTGACAGACACCCACTCCCAGGTGGAAACCCTCACACAACAAGTTCACAGCCTTACCCGCACAGTGGCATCACTAGAAGCCAGACACCGCAGGAGGAATATTCGGATCCGCGGAGCTCCAGAAACCGTACAACCGGAGGCCCTCCTGGACTTTGCACACAAAGTACTAAAGGCGATGGGGGTCAGAGAGAATGGTGACTCACCGCTTTTGGTGGCAGCCTTTCGAATAAGGAAGGCACTGACGGCTCCAGCTGACTCACCCAGGGACATAATTGCGGTGACACGGGACACAGCAGTGAAGTTGGCCATAATGGCCTGTTCCAGGAAAAGCCCCAGCGTGCAGGTAGAAGCCTGCTCCATATCAGTGTATGTGGACTTACCATTTTCAGTCCTGCTGGCCAGGTGCAGACTCCTGCCCATCACCAAGTTGCTGAGAGCAAACGGCATCAGGTACCGATGGGGGGTCTTGGGAACACTAATGGTATCCAGGGGGGAGGAAATCCACGTCCTGTCTGCCACAGAGGACCCAACAGACTTCTTGCAGAAACTCCAGCTGCCCCCCCCACCTGCAATTCCCAAGACACTACAAGGGACCAGTCGCCCAGTAGCCATGAAGGCGAAGACACACACACCTGGAGAGAGGGGGAAAAGGGATACCCCCAAGCTGCTAAACCCTCCCTGAGACTACCCATACCAGAGGCCTGACGGCCATGAAGCTGCTCCCGTAATGACTGTCCATACCTACCAAGAGTTTCAGCTTAAAATCTTTTGACCTCCGTCTGAGTTAAAATGTTCGAGTTTACACATTTTATGCAAATTTATGTTTAATTATTTGATTTAAGTGTGTGCTTTGGAATCCCTGAACATAGACACATGAAACCCTAGAGACGATACTGACCACAAAGGTCGTATGACAGAAAAGTGGGGCACGGGGAGCAGGGGGACATGGGAATGGGGACACACGGGACACGACACCCAGATTCTTACATGGGCCAGGCAACCTTCCGGGAGCTGTCCTCCTTACCCCACTGGATTCCCAGTCACGATACCACCCAGAGCAACAACCGCACCCATAGGGGGTCCCCAGTGACAACCATGTGATCCGAACCAGCAGACAAGATGGTACATTCCAGCGGTTGCTGAGACACAGACAGGACTACACACCAGGCGAACAGCCCCCTTATAAACACTGAAGCCCTTCCATGCCTTTCCCATATTTATACTCAGAGACATGGAGCCTCCTCGGTTTACACTGAGAGGAGTCCCGACTACCGACGACATACTGACCCAACATACACCCAGAGGACGACAAAACACTAACTATGAAAAGCCAGAAAGCGTCCCTACTCCCCTGCACCCTAGAGTGGCCCCAAAACTAAACTAAACCACAAGCGACACAGTCCGAGCCCATACTATATTGACCTTTTCACCCTTGACTGATTATCATCATATTGCCATATTCTGACTTATTATTTACACGGGTGGCTCTATTGTAATGCACCACGAAGACGCTAGGTTATAAAACCGTTTGTAACTTTATTCTGTTTCTGAATTTTAATCACCTAACAACATAATTTTTTGTTCTCTCAATGAATGGATGCCTAATCTTGCCTGCTACTGCTATTGTGGCACTGCAGACATTTCTGTCAAACTTCTCTGCACAACAAAAATAAAGAATTTAAAAAAAAAAAGAAATACGGAGGCTGGCCTCCGGCCATCCACGGTGTGGGCAGCACACAAGGCGGTTATTCGGGGCATATTGATCCGTGAAGCCACCCAAAGAAAAAGACAACTATTAGCGTCACTCTTGGAGACCCTGGGGAACGCGGAAACAAAACATAAATTAAACACATCTCCTAGCACTTTAGCTGACGTGAAGACCTTACGGGCATCGATACGCGAAACTCTCCTTGACGAGACAGCTAGAGCTCTTGTATGGTCCAAGAGGACTTACTACGAAAAAGCAAACAAAATGGATACGCTCTTAGCGAGATCTCTCCAACCGAGACAGAGAAATACGCACATTACGAGAATTAAGGATGCTTCAGGTAAGTACCACACTGACTCTACCAAGATAGCCCAAGTCTTTACGGACTATTACACCAAGCTATATAATCACTCTGGTGGAGTCGATGGTGACCCCTCAAGTGACACAGATAGCACCCACTCTTTCCTGTTCCGATTGTCCCTCCCAGTCTTGCGGAGTGCGGACTCAAAGGCTCTAGGAAAGCAGATCTCAGCTGAGGAGATAGATGCTGCTATATCATAGTTAAAAGGCAACAAAGCTCCAGGCCCGGATGGCTTTGAGGGCATTTACTATAAGATCTTTCACAAGGAACTTACTCCCTATATGGAAACGTGGTTTAATGATCTCATGGAGGGGGGCACGCCGGATAGGGACATGTTGTTAGCAGACATCATACTACTACCAAAACCAGGCAAAGACGATATGATCCCGGAAAACTTTCACCCTATATCCTTAATAAATCACGACTCTAAAATACTGGCAAAGATCCTAGCTCATAGACTGAACCACCTGTTGCCATGTCTAATACATCCAGACCAGGTGGGCTTCGTACCCGGTAGGCAGTTATTCGAGAACACTAGGAGCAATGTCGACCTCATCTGGCAGCAAACCGCTAGGAAAACTCTGATCCTGATATTGTCACTCGACGCCGAGAAGGCCTTTGATAGGGTGAAGTGGCCATACCTATTCGAGGTGCTTCGACATTTCGGATTCCCGACTCCGTTTATAACCGCGATTCGAGCCATGTACACAGATGTCAAGGCTCAGGTCAGGATATCGGGGGCCAAGATGGTGCCTTTCAGTTTAGGGAACAGAACCAGGTAGGGCTGCCCTTTGTCGCCCCTGCTGTTCACCCTCTCCTTGAAACCCCTTCTACAAGCTATACGAAGCAGCTCGGATATTAAGGGAATTATGGTCGGAGGGCAGCAGTATGTGGTGTCGGGATTCGCTGACGACATCTTGCTGACTCTGACTGATGCGACGGAGTCGATGGCGGCATTAACGAACACGTTAGCAACCTATCAGCATAGGAGACGCGGAAATGGTCCTCATAGGACGAACTCGCATAGCGAGAGACTATATTACATACTTGGGAGTCCAAGTAATGGCGGACCCTGCTCAGCTGTTCCAACAAAATTATGTCCCCATGCTACGAACACTGATTGACGATATGGAGAGGTGGGTGGATAAACCAATCTCTTGGATCGGCAGGATACATTCGGTGAAAATGAATGTTCTCTCTCGAATCTTGTTCTTGTTTCAGGCACTCCCGGTCTGGCTGACTAAAGCGGACTTGGGAGCGCTTCAACAAGCTATAGGAAAATTAATATGGCAGAATATGAAGCATAGAATTTCGTGCAATGTTCTTTATCGGGCAAAAACGAGGGGCGGCTTGGGATTACCTAACCTCTACTTTTATTATCTTGCAGCCCAGCTAACTCAGATAGCTATGTGGCACTCCCCTGTGGGACCTGGAATCTTCTCTCATGGGTTCAGACATGCCGCAATTCTATATGTGGGTCCCTCTGGACCATAGACCATTGATACATATTGCGTGCCCAGCTATTGATAACTCCTTGAAAATTTGGGACGCCACATCATCAAAATATGGTTTGGCCCCCCGCATGTCTTCGTTAACCCCTTACTTGAGGAATAAAGCGTTTCTCCCTGGGATGGAAGCAAGGGACTTTAGAGGTCTAGAGCGTACCATCTATATGAGGGCGGTTCGCTTCTATCCTTCGAGGACTTGAAAACCAAAGCCCCTTTACGTCCGTCTGATTTTTTACGATACCTTCAACTTCGGGACTTTGCCCAGAACCCGGTGGTAAAAACAACTGCACTGACCCCACCCACGTTTTTCGAAAGGATGTACATGAAAGAACAAATTCCAAAAGGCCTAATTACGTATCTGTGTGCACACCTAAGCACGAACACATCTGAATGGGGGGAACTCACTTATATTGCCCAATGGGAGGCGGACCTGAATGAGGAGTTGGAAGGCGTTGAGTGGCAGGAGATCTGGGAAGCCGTGGCGACCTCGTCGATATGTGTCTCCATGCAGGAACAGGCTTATAAAGCCTTATAAAAGGCTTATGTTCAGATGGTACGCCACCCCGGTAAAGCTCTGCAGAATGAATAAAATGTCTACAGATTTACGTTGGAGAGGGTGCGGCCAGAAAGGGACTTATTACCACATGTGGCACAAAAATACTGGAAACAGATTGTGGAACTGTTGCAGGATATCTTTGACAGAGAGGTCCACCTGGACCCCTGGGTATTCCTCCTTGCCAGGTCTATGGATGACTGGTATAGAACTGAACAGAAATTAATACTTAAATTAAACGTATCTGCTAGGAGGGCTTTAGAACAGGCTTGGCTACAGAGAGAGATTCCCTCACTCGATCTGGTAATACAAAAAATTAAAGACACTTTCCTAATGGACAAATTAACCGCGCAGGTCCGAGGTAACTTACCGAAATTCGAAAAGACCTAGGCCCATGGGTAGATAGCGGAGTTGGCGAATAGGGGATGGGGGGGCTTGTCCCCCCGGCACCCCTGTTTCTGTAGCCAACCTACCTTAACTTTTGACTCACCCAGCCTGCACTCCCACAGGGGGGCAATTGGAAACCCACGGGCAGTCCCACACGATCGAGCCCAATTCACAAACGTTGCGATGCTGCTAAAAATGTTGGAGTCACTTTGTAATTATGTCGCGTAGACCTACGATCGCCATGGCCAGTAACTCCCTGTACCACTCCCTCCTGTGCTTCCCTCTCCCCCTCCCTCTTAACCCTTCTCCTCCCTCTCTCTCCTCTTTACCTCTTTAAGGTTTTGTCTACTTCTATCACTCCTAACACTACATTCTTCTCTATTCTGACCGACACTTACATTTCGACCATAACAAACGCGAGGGCATTACCTTTCATATGATGAGTCACGGGAGGTATTAACATTAAACTGGTAACGCTACACTGGTGACACTAAAAGCTGAGCTAGTTATCTCGATTGTTACGATCCCACCAGAGCACTATATAGGTCGACAAACCTAGGCACTGGATGTTAGGGTCCTGCTCACAATGGTTGGTCAGATTCTCACTGTTTTACCCTTTATCAAAAAACCTGGCGGGGCACCACTGATATACAGACTACAGAAGTTGACACACAACAGTCTACTGCACTATGTTGAAGTTTGTTTCTATAAAAACGCACGCTTGTTCACCTTGTGCGAACTTGGATATGTCTTCAGAATTCTATTTATAACCCTGTTGTAGTGTATGATTTCATGTGGTGTCTTGCCTTGGAATAAATAAAGAATTTAAAAAAAAGAAATTTGATTAAATCATTTAACAGATGAGTGCCAAATTTATACATTGAAAACTGATGTATATACTAAAAAAGTTGTGGTGGGGAAAAAAAAGTGTGGATGAAAACCCCATTCCACCTGAAATAAGTGGATAGTTAATGCATTGCTAAACACAAATACACACCAGTCAAGCCATAAGACTGACTTTTCCCCCCGAAATCTCGCTTTAACAGTGCTCTTGCTACTGCAAGGGATTCTGGGTAGGCGTATGCAAATGAGCTCAACAAAGAACCACATTTTTGTCTCATAATTCCACTTTATACATGGATTCCTTGGAGTATGTATCTGCTGCATACAACTCAGGAAGATGAGCAAAGCTAGTGAACCACTCCTGGACAGTTGTTTCATTGTTAATGCAACTCATCATCAATCGAGGCAAAAAAGTGTGTATTTGTGTTTAGCAAATATATATATATATATATATATGTATTATACCAGTGATACATTAATTTTTAGAAGTTTATAATAAGTAAGTGACCAGGGGCTAGTTACACCCCGGCACACATGACTTAAGCAGCCCAGAACTCTGATCAGACTGCTTAAGTATAATTCTGTGCAAAATTATGTTTGTAATCATCACACACTGCACACTGACAACCGATGTAATGAAATGATCTTTTAATTTACAAATGCATTCTATTGTGCCAGGCAGAATTATAAACAAGATCAGACCTTCAGGATTTGTGCATTTGTTACCATCATTTGTTACCATCTGCTTTGAAATTGTCACCAAGTTCTGTTTTACCTGTTGCTATATGATATATATAATTAACTGAGCCAGCCCTTGACCTGTCTTAACCTCTTAAAGTATCCAATTTCCTAGCTTCATAAATTATAAAGTATTTCCTCCCCATTATCATTCCCTCATGTCTCCAAGTTTAAAGTGACTTTTAGGATTCCATGTTTGTGTTCTATATGACTATTAAGGCGTTACTGCGGGTACTATAACCACTTCAGCTTGCTTAAGTGGATACAGTGCAAGGACATGATCTGTGCAGTGTTTCACCATATACTAGCTTTAAGATGTTTACAGGTTTTATTATTTTTTATTTTTTGACAATTTTTATTTATTTTTAGGGCACAGAAGAAAGAGAGGGGAAAAGGGGACCCACATTGTAATATATATGGTACATTTTGTGTAATACAAGGTACATTTGTTAATATCGTAATATACACTTCTTCACATTGGCACAATAATCTACATGCTGTGAACATATCCCTGAGGCTTTTGATGTATGGAATCACGTTGTGGGTGTCCCCACCTCCTGTGAGGAAATCGAGTCACAGGACTGTTCATGTGTTTTGTTTATGTTTGAGACCTTAGAGCTGTAGCAAGGGTATCTCATAAGTGTTATGGGCGTAATAACTGCATAAGAAACTATTTACATATGGTGGGTCATGCTACCATGAGCAATTAGGGTATAGGATTTATTCTAGGAGACTTTGCTATATGGTTCAATTGTTAATGGAGCTATCTGCAGCCTGTGTCCACGTTTATGCTCTGGCTCACAGGGTTTCCTATCCATTCCTGGAGACCACTGCAGGTATTGACAGGTCACATTGGGCATCAAAAGGGGGTTGTGGAGATATGTGCTATGACATGTTTGGCTTTTCCTTCGTCAAGATCTCTGCCATCTAGCTATCCCATTACTCCTACCCATCCACCTCGGTCGAGTCAGTATTCATACATGTTTCAAGTTTGTTGACACATTGTTGCATCCCTTGACAGGATTGAGATTGTTTCCTAGCTATCGCTTCGTAGTCTAGGTTGGTAGCTATCTGTTGAAGAATAGCTTGTTTGGTAGGGGGTATACCGTCTTCCAGGCTCTTGTGATCAGCGTGAGGGCTGCGATAAGTGTATGGAATATTAGGGGCAGTCATCAAGATCAACAAATAACAGTGCCAACGCTGGTCTGAGCACTACCTGTGAGTGTAATATTTCCGAAACTGTGCTTTCGACCATTTTCCAGAAGGGTTGAATGAGGCTGCATGTCCACCATTTGTGGTGCATCGTGCCTGGGTCCTTACGGCATCTCCAGCACTTATCCAACGTGCCTGGGTATATTTTAACCAATCTTGTTGGCACCATGTACCATCTATAATAAAAACTTTGATGAATTCTGGGTGAGAAGTTGTGACGAGACCAATCTCGCCACATTGCATTGGAGAAGCCTGGTTGCTCGCCTGCTGCCTTTGGACTATGGCCCCCTTTTAAAAGACTTTATTTTTGCCTGCAGAAAAGCTGTATTCGTGTTTTTCTGCCTGGGGTTCGGTAGATTTGTTTGAATGTGTTATACCCCAGATAGGAATCCCATGGAGCCCATTCGTATGAAACTGACTGTAAAGACTTTAGCTCCATGGCGATTAAACTGTATTCGTGTGGTCTGAGCGCCATTCACTTAATAATGTGCGCTCTGACCTGAGCTATCTGGGGATATGTTACATGTCTGTGTTTTATGTAATAAATGTGACTTTATGTATTTTAAAGTGTTTTGTGTCTCTTTGCAACCATGTGCTTAATGGAGTCTTGTGTCTGTCCTGGGAGATAATTGAATTACTTATCTCCAGGATAGAAAACTCTGAAACTGGTTTGGGCCAGAAAGCCATGCTTCATTTAGTCACAAAGGACTTTTACTAACTTTTGAACCCCTTGTCTGATTTGTGCCATTTTTGAATATGTTGTTCCCCTGAATGGATTGATTGTGCATATGTAATTTTATGTGAATGTAATGTATGGTTTTAGAGTTATGAAAGTTGGGTAGAAAGTATGTTTTAACTGTATGTATAATTGAGTTTTCTCTCAGGATAAGGGGAGGGAATATGTGGGATGTAACTGTGATATGATTGGTTGTTTTATCCCTCCCTGTGGGTGGTCCTGTATTTGAAACACTGTAATAAAACCAGGCTGGGTGTGCCAGCACCTCAGACCACTGCTTGACCCTCAACACGGAGCCTTGTCTCGTTCTTGGGGGGGATTCATTGTATGCTGTTAGAGACTGATTGCCAGGAGTGTAAGCTGGTTGTCTGCTTTTCCTGTTCGTCTGCTAGCAGCTATTTGGGAGGTTCCAGTTCGGGAGTTGGAGTGCTATTTTGTATCCAGTTCGTGAGTTTTGGTGTTCTGCAGTAGCTGTGCCTGGATCTCTGGAAAGGGGGCCGATCGCCTAAACGGTTTTTACCCCTTTTGTGCAAAACGGTCCGTTACAGAAGTACATAAAGTTTTACTTTTGTGTGCCCTGAATGCTGCACGCCATTTAGTTTGGTCTATTACAGTATGGAGGTCCGCATGCCACAGTGTTTGGTATTTACCTGTGTCCCTGTTGCCTGCTTGATTTAATAGTTTGTAAATAGTTTTTTTGGGTGTGCTCATGGTCATGCAGGCCCTCTCAAAGTGTGAGAATTAGGTTTTAGTGCCTCCTGGCAAACAACAGGGATTTAAGTTGGAGATTGGAAAAAGCTGCTCTAGTGGGCAGATTGTAATTGTTTTTCAGGTCGGGAAACGATTGCAGAATTCCGTCCTGGAAGAGGTGATGTATGTGTGTGCAGCAATTCTCTGTCCATAAATGATAGATGAAAGTAGGGTTCATTACTTGCATACTCCTCAAAGGGGAAACCCGTGACCAAGGGTGAGTGTCACATAAATTGTTCCTCGCTGCGTCCCAC